TATGGGCCCGCTCACCGTCTTTAACAACTGATGTTCTTCCTGTCCAGAACTGCTAGTCAAGCAATTTATAAATCATAGAATGGTTTGGTTTGGAAGGGACCTCAAAGACCATCCAGTTCCAACCCCCCTGCCATGGACAGGGACACCCTCCACTACATCAGGTTGCCCAAAGCCCCATCCAACCTGGCCTTGAACACTGCCAGGGATGGGGCATCCACAGCTTCTCTGGGCAACCTGTGCCAGTGCCTCACCACCCTCAGAGTGAAAAATTTCTTCCTTAGATATAATCTGAGATTGCCACATAGCCTCTGCTAAAAACGCAGCGGCTCGGCCGCTGGCTGGGGGCTGTGGCCCGGAGCCACCCCTGCAGAAGGAAAATCAACTGCAGCCGACTGCAATTACAGACCGGGAGCTAAATTTGGAGCTTCGCCTTATAACAAAGGGAGGATGAACCACAGTCGCCCTCGCCCACGCCACGTCCCTGACCTCCAGCCATGGGCTGCAGGCGTCGCGTCGGCCCTGGCGCAGGTGCTGCAAGGGTCCCCTCCGGCTCCGCGGGGGAAAAAATCCTCCTCCGAGACTTCTCCTAACAGCCAGGCGCTTTCTGGTGGCCAGTGGGAAACGTTCTCTCAGAAGAAAGCTGCTTTTCTGTTTCCCCTTTTATATTTTCCTCCCTCTCCCTGTCCCTGCCCTTGGGAGCGCACACACGAAAGCAGCGCTGGTGCTGACGAGGGATCAGTTGTCCCTGCTGACTTCTGCTCGGCGGTTACCAGGAGAGAGGCTTTTTGATGTCTACAAGAAATATTCTGAGCACGGATGTGTTGGGGATCCAGAAACCCCACAAACCCTGCAGTCCCATCGGGACCAGGCAGAGCAGTTCAAAGCGTGCTCTGATGTTATCCCTGGAGATAAAGCGTGCTCCTTTGGAACCGAGCAAACCCAACGCCAGGTCGGCAAGAGCAATCCAAGGATTCGCTCCGGACCGTGCGGCTGCTTCGAACCCCAACACAAGCGATGGCCTCACTTCTGCCCACTGGCCACCGAGCTGGTGGGCACAGTGGGGTGGTCCCACCAGCTCCCCACCTCGCTGGCCTCGCGCCGTCCCAGGACCCTCAGTGGATTCAGGGCTTGCCACGGTCAAGGAGCAAGCACAGAGGAAAGCAGTAGTATCCTCTGTAGTAACAGGAGATAAGGTGCTGCTTAGCTATATGTGAAAGCTCTGGATGTTTGGTTTTTACAAATGACTGTTTATTGCTTCTGACCCCAGCTAGTGTTAAAATGCAAAGTGTTTTCCTGGGTGATGGAAGTGGCCTGAGCTCCCAGCGCCGCTGTGCGGAGTGACACCTTTGTCTTCTCCCATCTGCAGAAACTGAAACACACGGAGAGCGACAAGCTGCAGGTGCAGATTCAAGCTTACCTGGATAACGTTTTTGACGTGGGAGCTTTACTGGAGGATGCTGAAACCAAGAATGCAGCCCTGGAAAGAGTTGAAGAACTGGAGGAAAACATTTCCCACGTTAGTACCACGCGTTGTCACCTCTGTCTCTGAAGTGGCTCGGAGCCCGCCGTGCGCGGGGGCTTTGCTGCTGCCCGTTTCGGGAGGTGGGAGCACAGGGTGCAGCAGGGCTACAGCCTTTGGTGTGAGGGTCACTTAGAAAAAGCCTTAGAACTTCTGGGGGAGTAGTCAGATGTTTGGCAAGTGAAGGAATTCGGGAGATGTCAAGCAGGTGAAATTCCTGGGCGCTTTCATGCTGTGTTTTCAACCTCATATTCCACCTTTTAATTAACTCTGCGCAGAGTGGCCTTATGAGCTGGGAAAGCGAATTTCCGGAGAAGTTGTAAATTCCTCAGCAGTGCAGTACCAGTAACTAGAGCAGGCAGCCGTCCCATCTGTGTCTTAAAGCACATTGCTGGGCTCAGGAGGGAAGGGACCGAAAAAGAGTGCTGTGCAGACACTCCGTGTTTGCTCAGTCCAGTGTCTGCTCACGGCTTTTCTGTCCCGTACCTTCTTGGTGTCGCTGTAGTCCAGAAAATGTGGCTTGGCTGTTTTAAAACCAAAGTGGTTTTCACTACTTAAAAAAAAAAAAATGATAAAAGGGTCATCATTCTCTTACCATTCCTGCATTGCCATCACTTGGATTAAGTATGTTCTTAAAACAACTTGCTGGGCAGTATTTGCCCCTCCGAGGTGCCCATCTGCTAGAGGCAAGTGAGTCAGTACAAGGGACACTCTTTGCTTCCCAGATCTCCTCCTTCTACCTGTTTAGAAACTTAATGGTTTACTCTGGTGGCAAATTTTTAAGGACTTGCTTCTGATCTCTTGTTACATAAACTAGACTCATCCCAGGAGTAGGGATGTAATTTTCTGTCATGTGTTGACAGAAATACTAATAGTAGTTTTACCTCAGAAACACAGCAACTGATGCCACCTCACACCTCTGCAGCCTCACTTGACTCAGTGTGGCTGGTGGTGATGGAAAAAGCCAACAAGAACAGCGGGGCTTTCAGATCTCGGGTTTACTGGGCTGGCAAAATTGAAAAAGAATTCAAAAGACCGTGGGGGAAAAAGGAAAAAAAAACCCTCTTTAATTCATTACTGATCAAATTGGCCTCAGTCTGAGAGGGTATATTTATAGGTTCCACCACTTAAACATCTGCTGGTTTTGCAACAGTGCCACTGTGGTGTTCTGTGGGGTTTTTGAGTTCCAGGTGAGACTTAGTGTGTATGAAAATAATTGCATTTTAAGTGCTTTGATGTAGAGTAGGCTCTCTTACCTGGGCAGGTTCACAGCTGCAGTCTGGCCAGGGTACCTGAATGGTGACATTCATCATCAGAGGAACCTTCAGCAGGGCACTTGGTGCCCTCCCAATCCCATGCAGGAGCCCTTTCTCTTTCCAAGGAAAGATTTCAAAGTTTGGTGGAACATTGATAATTTACCATGTACCACTGCTCCAACAAGTGTTCCTGATATTATGGTTGAGCAAACTGCTGTTCTCCACTTGTGCAATCTATTTTTCTATTGAACAATAGTTATCAGAAAAACTCCAAGATACGGAGAATGAAGCCATGGCGAAGATTGTGGAACTGGAAAAACAACTTATGCAAAGAAACAAGGAACTGGACGTGATTCGGGTGAGTGCAGTGGGAAAGCTCTGGCTGGCTGCCACGCTTCAGGGGAGCCATCTCCTGTGTGCTTGCTGTTTGGGAGGAAATGACTCTCTTAACGGGCCAAGTGACTCCTAGTGGCTTCCAAATTTTGAACCTAGGACAAATTTCAAGTAGAATTACTAGTGTGTGGACTCAAGGATGGACATAGACTCTCCAGCAAATCAGTGAATGAGTCTGGTGCATCTTATCACTCGGGTCTGTAGCATCTGTGCCTGGTGCTTTGCACGTGTGGTTGGGGTGTTGGAGGTGGACCTGAAGTCCTTCAGACTTGGGCTGTACAGCCCCGGGATGGGAGCAAGTGCCCAGTGTCTGTGCTGGCAAGTGCCACCAGCTTTCTGTGCGCAGTCCAGACTAATTCTTCTTGTACAATCTTAATAACAAAATTTATGATTATAGTATTAACTAACGTCAGCCTAAATGTCATCCCAAAGTGCAGCTGCTTCTAGAGTTCCTTCTGTGTGTCTGCCCCAGGTGCTTGCGGGTACAATTTCCCCTCCAGATCAGGAGTTCTGTTCCCGCTTCCCTTTATGGGCCAGCGCCTGCCGATGGGCACAGTAACCAGCAGGGCATCAGATGCTCTCTCTTGAAGTCAAAATCGAGGTAGAGTACCTACACTAGATATGTAAGGCTACCATCAGAAATGGGAGGCACCATGAAGAAGTGATGACTGAGAAATTCTGCACCCCCAGGTGCTGGTGCCCACAGGTGAGATTTCTGCCAGGACTCGGTACTGTACACAGCCTTGCTGCTCCCTTGGGAAAAACACCAAACAAATGCTTCCTCACCCCTGAAGATGTACGGTTTGCGTCCAGGCTCGTTGTTAGATAGTGCCTGGTGCAGTGACCATGCCGTGTCAGGCTGTTCTGGTATTGGTATTCTGGTTTGTGCTTACGAGTGCAAATTCCTTGTTTCTGGGGCACCCTCAGGAAATCTACAAGGATGCAAATACCCAGGTTCACACCTTGAGAAAAATGGTGAAAGAAAAAGAAGAAGCCATCCAGCGCCAGTCAACGTTGGAGAAAAAGATCCATGAACTGGAGAAGCAGGGAACCATTAAGATCCAGAAGAAGGGCGATGGTGACATCTCTATCCTTCCCATTGCTCTGGCCTCTGGGATGGTGCCGGCAGGGTCAGAAGCTGTGGCTGGCACATGTGTCGCACCGGTTGCTGGAGCTGCATCTTCAGTACCGTTGCCACCACCTCCACCACCATTACCCGCCTTAGCAGCGGCATCTGAGGCAGGTAAGAAGGGTTTTGTCCCCGAGACATGGGCTGACTGGGAGCTGGAGGTGCAGTTTGTTGTGCTGGGGACAGTCACAGCAGCCTTACGCCGGCAAAACCACCTTCAGTTGTAAGGAGCCCGCAGGTCAGGGCACCTTGCAGCGGCTGAGGATGCTGAGGTCCCCAGCTGTGATTGCACTCTTGCTCTGGGTGACTCCGTGTTTGTCTGATCCATTTCTGAGCCCTTCAGTTGACACAAAAAAGTATGAACTTCTTTCATTAGGGTAGTTACCTCCCATGTTCATGCACTGAAGTAGTCTGGTGAAGGGTCCAACAAATGCTTAGGCCAGTGTAGTGGTGGAGAGGAGATACATAGTGGGAGATAGGGTGGATGTTGTGGCAACTTCTGCACGTGCTTGTGATATTTCAGTTGGTGCTCATGGCAATACCTTGTTTTTCCTTCATTTCACAGTGCAAAACGGTCCTGTGTCAATGTCGATGCCGCCTCCACCGCCACCTCCGCCACCACCTCCACCACCACCGCCACCACCTCCTCTCCCAGGTCCGTCACTGGAGACGGCTCCCGCGGCTCCGCTGCCTCCACCGCCGCCGCCGTCGGCACCCCCCCTGCCCGGGACAGCCTCTCCCACCGTGGTGTTCAACTCAGGGCTTGCAGGTAAAACGCAGCACAGACAGGGCACCTTGGCCAGAGGGGACAGGGTGCTGAGGTGGGACTTTGCTTCTTAGTCACCTAAATATCACCCATGACCTCTTACTGGTGTTCTGCTCGGGGCTTTATAAAAGGAAAGGGCATTTATCAACCCAACGGTTTTGGTTTTGGTCTGGAAGAAGCAGCTGCTTCAGTGAAACTAAAGCTATTGCCAAAAATATTTTTCGAACATGATCGTTTTTGGCTTTAAGCAAAGAAAATATGGTTTTGAAAGAAACGCAAAGCTTCATGGTTTTGATTTCTTCTGAGAACTTCATGAAGAAACATCTTTGCAAAAAAATGGCAAATTTTTTTGGAAGAAAAATCTACTGACCGTCTTTAATCATGTTTTTATGCACTCTCTGAAATACGCCAAGCAAGTGAATGCTAATTGGTATCTCACTGCTCCCCCCCCAGGGAATCTCAAGAGCACGATACAAGTTCAGAAAGAGAAATCCAGGAGCTCTGATTAAGCCTTTTTTTTTAAAAAAAAAAAAAGATTAAGTATTCCAGCCTTTAAAGTTTCTTCTGGAAGTGAAAAGCATCATGGAACTAGAGGGTCCCCGGGCATATTAAACCCAAAGCACACAGCTGAGGTTCCGGGCTGGTCTCTCCGCGGCGGCTCGGCAGAGCCAGCAGTGGTCCTGCAGCGTGCGGTGCAGGCGGCAGCGGTGCTGGCCGTGGCCGTACTGATGCTCGAGGGGCTGCTGGGGGCACGGGGGGCTGTGCCAGCAGGTGCCCAGACGCCCCACTTGAGCCCGCTCTCCCCACAGTGTGAACTGGGGATGGGAGGAGCAGAGCAGCCCTGCTGCTGGCACGGCTCTGCTGAGCTGCACCGCTGGCAGGGGCAGCCCGGCAGCCCAGCTCCTCGCTTGGAAATAACAAATTTTACTTTTCTGACCTGTACTAACATTTTTTTTTCTCTGTTCTTCCTGCTTCCCGGTAAGACGGGCCAATCAAGCTCTTCTGTAGGTTGCTTTCTGCTAAGTATTTCCCTCCCTCCCCGCGTTTCCCTCCATGCCGTGCCTGTGTGTGTGCCCGGGGGCTCGCGTGGGCATGGGGAGGCGGTGGCGGGGTCAGGCTGGTGTAGGGACGCACCGGCCGGAGCCGGAGCTTTGGGGATGCTGCCAGGTGGCAGGATTTGGCACCCGGGGGGCCCTGATTCAGCAAAGCACTTCAGCAATTAATTAAGACATGAGGTTTCTTTGGAGCCGTCCTGGAGCTCCAAAGGAGTGCGCTCTCGGCACCGGTCACGCTGAGGATGGGCTTTTCCAACGAGGCCACGTGCGGAGCTACAGCAGCTTTGGCCACCTGCAGGTACCCTCTGCGGGGTCTGGTCCCCAGCCGAGACCGCGTCCCCCCTGCGCTGCTGGCAG